GAAGACGGAACATAGTATGTCTGCACTTTTCCACGAGCGCACACGGACGGCGGTTCTCGCTTGTGTGCGTATCCCCACCACTTCAGTGTTTTCGGTGCTGGCCGGTTCGAGCCTTGCGACGAAAGACCGGTGACGCGAGACAGCGCGATTAGGCCGTCTCACTTTAAAAGAAAGACAGACTAACTCAACCACTTGAGGGCGCCACTTCCCGGGCAGAGACCCCAGTGCGGACTTCGGATCTCGCTCCAGTACCCTCTTAATGACAAAATCCAAATCAACCTCGGTATAATTACCTTTGTTTGTATTTGGAAATGTTGTGCGAATTCTAAAATTTCCTCCAACGAGATACACGTTCTCTCTTACTATCATATTTTATTATTTTTCTTTGCCTGATGTTATACTTTTGTTTTAAATCGATCGATCCAACTTATGCTGGCAGAGAAGCTGAAGGTTTCATCAATAAATGGAAACGCTATCGCCATCGCCCATGCTGCATAGTTCTTGTTGTTATCTGAAAACGATAGTATGTATAATTTATAAGAGAGAGAATTTTGAAATATTTCTAATTCTATAATAAAAATATTGTGTAAAAGTATACCAGCTCAAAAGACATTCTCTTGCTTTTTTAAAGTGTTCGAATGTCTGTGTTTCAATATATTTCCATTTATCGACGAATGTTCCTCCTCGTTTAATGTAGTCTTTCCATGTACGCAGCATTTTTTGGTTTTTCAATTTAGAGCACCCTTTTTTCTGTAAAGTGTGTATGGTCCATTTTGGATGCATTTCTGCTAGAGCGACTGTTTTTTCTTTGTAAGTTAATGAAATGTAATTGTAATCTCGAGAAAGATGCAATTCTGGCTTGTATTTTGGACTCTCACGAGGTATGCACTACATAAATATAAAAAGTCACATTTATATAATTTTTATAACTTTACTGCTTTAAAAAATAAAAAGTTTCAAAAGTAGTAACAACTCAAAACGTACTTTTGTGTATTCCTCTGCATTTATAGCATCTGTCTTTTTCTGAAGTATTAAATCTTCATCAATAATTATTTTGTGATCTTGCAGCATACACATTATGTTAGTAAAAATTTCCTCGCCTATAGCAATAAAAGCGGCCGAGATTTCTTTTGGCGGTGTGTCAGATCTTAGATTTTCTGCTTCCGTCAAACTCTTACAATAAATGAGAGCGTTTGTTAAATTGTCTCTCATTATTGATTTTTTTATCTGTCTGTAAGCTCACAGATTCCGAGTTTGACTCCGAGCTTGAAATATTTTGTTCAACACTAGTACTTGGCTCCTGGCTCATTTTTGTCACTGCACTACACACGATATGCTTCGAATGCTAGCTTTTATTCGACTGCAAATAAATCAACGGTTTTCAAACCGTCAAACGATCTTCATAAACAAATCTCATATAAACAAATCTAGTTCTTATAAATAAATCTCATATAAACAAATCTAGTTCTTCGATAACGTGTGTATATAATTTCATAATACAGATATCCTTATCAAGAATGGATATTCTAGATAATCAAAACTCGTTGCGGTAAGAATAATGATTGCATAGCAAATAAATTTCAATTAAATGTGCTCATTGCAGATTAATATTATGTCTTACGTGGTTTTTTTATAATAAGGTATGTAATTCGTCCGAAAATGAATCTGAAGACAAGTAAGTTTTCTTTAAAATATAATAAAAAAGTTACATGTTTTTATATTGCATTTGAATTTTTTTTCTTCTTTATTTTTACTTTATAAACTTTTTATTGCATAATATAATCAACTTTTTTATTGCATAACACAACATCAAATTCTAGTCTAAATTTAAGTTCCGTAACATGTAAAGCAATATAAATAAATACATGTCATAATTTGTAAATAATATTAATTTTATAATAAAACCATTAGTTTTTTAGATAAAATATTAAAAACTACATATAATACCACGCTTACATATTAGATGCGCAACTAAGTTTTTGCTGTTTTTTTTTTAAATGCAACTTTATTGTGAAAAAATGGTTACAAATGAATCATTCAAAGTATTACCCATCGGTAGCTACAACTTTTTCTTATCTTTCTGGCAGAGCTCGAATACCGTTACGTTAAAAGTGTTTGTCTTTTGAGACTATCCACAAATCAAGCCATTTTTTGATGTCTTCATATGAGCGGAACTGCTGATCAGCCAGACCATGTGCCATCGAACGGAACAAGTAATAATCGGACGGCGTAATATCTGGGGAATATGGCGGGTGGGGTAGAACTTCCCATTTGAGCGTTTCCACGTAGGTTTTAACGGGTTTGGCAACATGAGGCCGAGCGTTGTCATGCAATAGAATCACTTTTTCGTGCCTCTGCTCGTATTGTGGCTGTTTTTCGCGCAGTGCTCGGCTCAGTCGCATCAATTGAATTTGATACCGTTCCCCAGTGATGATTTTGGTTGGTTTCAACAGCTCATAATAAATAACACCGACCTGGTCCCACCAAATACACAGCATAATTTTCGCAGCGTGAATATTCGGCCGAGCCAACGACGTAAAAGCATAACCGAGCAGTCCCCATGACTTTCTTTTCTTTGGGTTGCTGTAATGAATCCATTTTTCATCACCCGTCACGATGCGATGAAGAAAACTCTTCCTTTTTTGCCGCTGGAGCAGTTGTTCACAGGCGAAAAAACGACGCCCAACATCCCTTGGCTTCAAATCATAAGGAACCCAAGTTCCTTGCTTTTGAATCATTCTCAACGCATGCAATCGCTTGGAAATGGCTTGGCGGGTAACTCCTAATGCTGAAGCAAGCTGTTCGTGCGTTTGGCATGGATCTTCATCGAGCAATGCCTCCAATTCAGCGTCTTCGAAGGTTTTTGGCCTTCCTTCACGCGGACGGTCGTCAACATCGAAATCTCTGTCTTTGAAGCGACGGAACCAATTACGGCACGTTGTTTCACTTAGAGCAGCATCTCCGTAAACTTTTTGGAGCTCTCGATGCGCTACAGTCGCCGTTTTCTTTGAATGAAATAAGAAAATCAACACTTCCCGCAATGACGATTATTTGGTACAATATCAGATATTTTCACACAACCAAAAGTATATGACGCCAAAACAAAATCACTAACGTGTCAAAGCGGTTTGTTTACCATATGTCTAAGCTTGGCTCGTGACGTTTTGGATATGTCAAAATCGACCAGCACTTACTGCTGGAGCCATCTATTGACAAACAGCAGGAACTTAGTTGCGCATCTAATAATAAGCTACAATGCGAATGTAAAAACAAACAAACTTTCGAAAAAATAAACCAGCAAAACGCAGAGTGGCAGTCGGACGCCTTACCTACTAAACCACTCTGCTTAGCTGCTAAACTGTTCAAACTTAACAGTATATTAAACGCACGAAAATCTTTGAACGCGTTTCTCTCGCGAATGCTTGAGAGGTGCGTCCTATTATTTTACGACGATGTAGTGGGAAGATCAATCTACAATATATATAAAATTCAGCCAAATTGGAAGAGGCAATGGTTGGTGTTTCTTTTGTGAGATTCTTTAGGTGTCCATTTTTATGGCGCTAGATTACAGGAAAAAGGATGTAGTAGAGAAAATGTGGTAGTAGAAGTAAGGTAATGTAACGGAAGATTAGGTGGGGGTGTTATGGCAGATGGATTGCCATAGTGGACTGGTTATTTGTACATTATCTCTATTGAGATTGTTTGGGTGTTTATATATTTCCAAAGACTTCATATATTTTCTAGAAAAGTAAGCTGCAGGTTTGTTTAATTCTTAGGTTTATCAAACATGATTTTTGACCAGTTTTTAATTTATTTGTTTTAAATTGTTATAAGTAATTCTGTGTTAATTAACATAGATTGCTAGAAGTTAGTATTTGCGATAGAAAACATTAATGTATATATATATATATATACCAAAAAACCAAGTTTTCATAAATAAATATTACAGTAGAATAGATGATAGGTAATTTAACATCACTTATATATTTCGAAATATCGATGTTTAATGCTCATTCCTATTCTGTAACGGGTAGGTGTACATAGTCGGTCACACACCACCGGGAGTAGATGACCATGAAAATAGCGCTGCGGCTCTCAATGAAAGACACAACACTAAATATTTACAAATGGTGCGTCTCTACTCGGACATCATTCGAGGACAGTTCTTTGGTCATTGGCATTCGGATACGTTCCGCGTTATCTATAGCGATACGGGTATGTTACAATCATTATTATAATTACTATAAAGTATTATTGTAGATTGCACATTATATTTGAGATGTATTTTTTGTTATATCAGTATAATTTTTATACTTTATTGTTCCAGTTTTTATCTCTATTATTAGAAGAAAATTTAAAAAAATTGTGCGGAAGCTTTTATGTCATTTCTCAATAAAATATTTTATCAGTTTTAGGTAAATTTTATTTTATATATTTGAGAAAATATAGAACACAGTAAGCGAATTATCATTTAATCAATTGTCGCTTTTGCATTATTATATACACATATAATATTATATATAATATTATATAACACACTCACAGTATACATCTTAAATTAATTATTCCGTAAAATGATTGCGTACTGACCAGGTCTGCCTGTATCCTGGATAATGATGGCTCCCAGTGTAACGCCAAGCACCGGTGGTGGAGGACCCAACAATCCAGGTTTGCGACTATACAAGTTTGAAACTAACACCGGACAGGTATGTGGTCATGTCACATGCATATAGTTCATGATAATATCTCGTCGTTCACGTGTAACGGTCTATTTGTAACGATATATCAAATTTAGAAAGATGCAGAAATATACAATATATCTATGTATGTGTAACATTCTGCACAGATTTTGGATTACACGCAGTACTATCTTAATCTGCCCGAAGCAAATTCAAACGGCAAAGCAAACTGGGCGATTGAGTACTCATTGCTCGAGTATTATGAGCTGCAGGAAATATCAGCGATCACTCTTCATGATTTGGCAGACCGATTTACGCAATCTAACGATTATGCCTTTGTCAGGTATGTACAAAAAATAAATATTGATCCTACTCGTATAATAATCCAGTCAATATGTAGTTTTTGCTTGCAAAAATTTTGGTAGTTTCGATTTTTGAATATATTTTAAAGTTCGGTGTCCTAATGAAAACCTTATGTTTTCCAACTCAACCGATCGCCGCTCGCGCCGCTATCTTGGAAAAATAACGTTTAAAACATGTTTTTTTGCAATATTTTCTCACCAGTAGATCTTACAATAAAAATAGTTATAATCAATCTTGTAGAAGAGAACATTTTTTATAATTTTTGTCTAAAATATTTTTTTGTAAAATTGTTTTGTTAAGGTTAAATCAAAAATTAAAACTATCAAAATTTTTGCAGGCAAACATCTTTTTTTTATCTATATTGACTGGACTATAATATAAAAATGTAAACAAAAGCGCCAAGTTCACGCGCAACTCGTATCTCCAAAAAAGAAAGTATTACTATAAAAATCTTTTTTTACAAAATCTATTCTACAAAAGAAATAATATCAGAAAGCAGCGCCAAGTAAATCTTGTACGTTTATACATTGTTACAAAATAAAATATTAAAAAACTGTAAAAATAGTTTACACAAAAAGACTTGGCACTACTTTCTGATATTATTTTTTTGTAGAATAGATTTTGTAAAAAAAGATTTTTAGAAATACTTTTTTTATAAAGATATGAGTTGCTCATAAACTTGGCACCTATTTTTACCAGGCTAGAGGACCAATCACCGACAATCATTCTTTCTGACTCACTCAACAGTTCTTTAAACTTTATTATCTGCACGTGCAAGTTCCTGTTTATTTTCAGTGCCATAAAATTCCTTGCTAGAGATTAGCGGACCGCCTAAATTATCTAAGTTTATATTCGCGAATTATTCGCGAACCAAACATCCGGGCTACTTGTTGACTAATTGACCGGTATTTCTTTGAAAGTCGGTAAGAGTGATTAGATAAAAAATTGCGATACGGGTCTGTTTATCTTAGTTTAATAGGTCCTTTGTTCTCTGCTCAAGAATTGTTATTTAAAAATTAATTTTAAGGCGCAAATCTTAAAGCTAGTTTATGTCTGGTTCCAAACAGAAGGGGACCGTGGAGTCCAGGACATAACACAATAATATATGGAATTTCTTAATAATAACAATAATATATGAATTTAATTTGACATCTATAGCACATGTGACGTGAAGTATAAATTCTGCTAAACGCAGTCACAAAATGCTGCCGCGTTTCTGCGCAAACTTTATGAAACGGCGTTTTAAGGTAGTTCCCGTACGACAGTCGCATTCAAAAAGAAAATCTACCGTCAATATAAAAAAACGTTAAGATAAGTTAGGTTTAAAGCATATAGTTTTTGTCAGAGATTGTACTTACACACTAGTATACTATCAGGTTGCTCTTTAAACTCTGATGAAGTGAACTGAAATGTTCACGAAACGTCGGTATAAGAATGACACTAACGCGGTTCAAATTCGAAAAACATCTTTATATGTTAATACAACACACCGCAAAAGCATCAAATATTACACTAGTAAATACCAGTTTACTAGTATACCAGTTTACTAGTATACGGATTCGTACACATACATTTAAACAAGTCAGAACGATAATTGTGGCAACGTTGCAAGAACTTGTAATAGCTTGTAGAAATAGGTTTATACTTAGTTAATGTATTAAAGGTTGTTTTGTCATTTAAGAATTAACAAAATATAACAAAACCTGTCTCTAAAGCAGTTGCAATATAAAAGAAATTTTGTTAATCAAAAAAGTTAGAAAATCAAATAAAATGTATTGCGCCTATAAATGCCGCAAAAAATAAGAAAAACTAAAGAAAGTAATAATCTAAGTGTTGGACGATGTATTGTTGAGTTACAAGAACGTGGAAAAAGTCTAAAGTGCTGTCGTCAATACAAAAAAGTACTTTCTCTTGAAAAAAGTACAAGTGAGACACGTCTAAGACTCTATTCAATATTAGACGTGTCTTGTGACTTAACTGTTACAGCGTTGCCGGTTTTTGATCACCTTACCCCACTACGCTTTTACTGCAAGTATAAAGATTAAACTTTAAAAATCTTTAAACTTTAAAAATCTATAACTATTGAATGAAATAGTAAAAATCTTTTTCTTCAATTATTTGTAAAATACTTCTCTATAATATAGTTGTTTTTTTTGTAAAAATTCATAGAGCTGTTTTGAAATTAGAACCAAAAATAGATTGTTTGGACGCATTCAGTATAAGGAACTTGTGCTATAACGCCTACTTTAATTGTGTGTGAATATCTCGCTTCACAATTGATCAATATCTTTGACATTGCAAAATTAAGTGTAAAACATCATTTTTAACATTCTGTAAAACTTTTATAAAATTACATAGAAAAGTGAGCTTGCATGGGAACTACTTTAAAGCGATTGTTGCGCGATACAGCGCAGCCATGCGCGATAGCCAGTGTGAACGCTTGACAAGCAAACGCGAGTACGTGTATATGCTTGCGCTTTACGTATGTAGATCCATTTACATGATCAGGCAGCATTTCAGCTTGGCTAGCGCAGCTAATATATGTAATACTACTCTATAGTGCTAGCCAAGCTGCAATGCTGCCGAGCAGCTGAAATTTGTTTAAACATTTAAGTTGCTTTTCCACGGAGCGTAAGAGCCACCGCACAAACTCTTTCGTTACGTTTAATACTGGCGTTACGCTGGTCTTAGCGCGTTACGTTACGTTAAATACTGGCTATAAACTTAGATTCGTATGTAAACTTGACCTTTATTCAACGCACAAATAAAATTAACTTAGATTGCTTTTTAAGCAAGAAGACACAAAGACACAGACACAGTGCCAGGCACAGAAGAACTGTGTAAAATTGCTGGAACATTATTTAAATCTTAGTGAAGTCGATAACTCGCGCTTTATATACAAAGGAGTATGGATAAAACTATCGGATTTTGGCCCCAGCAATGGAATATTTTTTATGCATTTTCTTATGTTTTTGGACGTGCTGAATTCCGAACAGCAAAATTAAAACGGTGTTCTGATAGGAAAAAATTGACAATCGCACTTAAAGTAATCCCGCTCTTACAAGGGGACTTTACGGTAATGACCTACCCGATTTTAATAAAATTTTTTTTGTAGATAGACCTTAATATGAAACTTTATTGAGCAAAGCAAGATGACATACTACTCAAGCGTTTTCGAGAAAATCGAGGATGAAACATTCCGAGCGCCATTTAAGCAAAGTTTATAAACGATTGTATCAAAGTTAGCGTGGCAAAGCGGTAGCATGCCCGATTCGTGCTCTTAAAATCGACGGTTTGAGTCTCGATAGGTGGGTATTTTTTTACTTAGAATAAAGATTTTACATTCAATAATTACATAAATTAATACATATTAACATAAATATTACTAAATTTTACCATTTTGTATATTTTTGATTAAAAATGAACATTTTTCAACAATTTAGACTTAAGGCTCGTTGAAATTATCAACAAGAAATATATAAAGCCTTCCGAGCCATTCACAAAATGTTTGTGCGGAAACTGTGCGTGTATATAGATATATATATA